ACACCAACTTTAAACCCAACCCAAACCTTATCATACACTACTATCTGAAGTCGTAACCATAAAAGTTACAAGTTACAGCACTAGATTTAAGCGAGTTAGGATTTTGGGTAAGGCTAATCTGCCCAAATACACAAAACAACTATAATTTGTTCTAAACCAATCTTAACGTTGCTCAACTTTAGGATTGATGGATTGTCTTTTCATCGCAAATAAAGATTGTATTGATAAGAATGGGTTCTTTAATTTCATGTATTGAGGGATCCTAGCTGACCTAGCAGAGGCGTAGCGACCCTTCCCGGCGCCCGGGGACAAACTTTCAATTTGGCGCCCCCCTCGGGAACAAATAATTGCACCCCCCCTCAAACTTTCGATTTGCACCCCCACCCCTCAAACTATTTATGATTTGTTTTTCCAACCCATTTTGGCGTCCCCTAATGTCGGCGCCCCATAAGGTCGGCGCCCGGGGACATATGTACCCCCCCCCGCCCCCCTCGCTATGCCTCTGCCCTATAGACATGTTTTGACTATTAGTGGGCATCATTTTTTATGCCCTCAATCACTGGGTGACATTGGTAAAATGAGAGGTCTGTAGTACTATTTATTGTTTTGGCAGAGTGGTAAGTTCAACCAACAGATACGTATACAGCGGAAGTTAGTCCTAAAATTAAATTATTTTCTATTTTTAAAACTTTCTTTGTAATCATGCTATCGTAATGAAACGTCTGCAAAAAAAAAAAAAATTCAAGTGACACACAAACAAAAATAACTCGCAGCGGAATCTTTTTCCGGTTTCAGCTATAAATAGCCAGACCTTGTGACTTGTCTTTGGATTACATGTCTTTCCGGTTATAATTTTTTTTATGGTTTTAAGAAGTCTAACACTCTTAAATTATAAAACACACATAAACGTCCAGTGGATTAAATATGTTAATCCACGCCCTGCTTTTGGATGGATCCCGCTTGGCCTATAATATGACGTCACCGCAACAAATGCTTTACGTGGCCATCAGACACTGAAGATGTTGTCAAAAATGTTTAGGAAACTTGGAGTCTGGTGAAACCACACCTTTCGCATACGGTCATAACCGGGTTAGCGAGCTGCGGTCTACCGCTAGACCACTCAGTCCCCGGCTAAATCACATAGGAGCTCCAGGTTTCAAGTATTTTTAAAAAACATTTCTTGGACAAAGTCGCATATCGCTAAGCATCAGCTGTTATTACCCAGGGGCCCTTCGTCTTTAAACTATATATATAGGCATATATATATATATATATATATATATATATATATATATATATATATATATATATATATATATATATATATATATACATACATAAGTGCAAGAACTTTTTGCCAAGACCTTCTATATATTCTTTAATCAAAATAAGTGATGCCCATGACTCCTACACTGCAGAGAAGCGCATCTGACTGCCCAACTTAAACATCACAGAGAAGCGCCCCTGACTGTCCAAGTTCACTGTTAGGATATCACGTATCATAACATGATCATGTCTGAGTTAGTAGGCTATATCGAAAAGGCGACATTGTTGAACTTCCTTGCTTTCATGGCTTTTTTTCGCAATTTAAAAGAGAATAAAGCTATATGGTTCAAAAACAAATATTATGTAGCCTACACATGTGTTAATTTCATCAACACGGTTGAAAACTAAACTAACGAAGTCACATGTGCTGAGTTATAGACCTCAGCAATATAACACACTTGACTGTAGCCTACACGTGTTAACTGCATCAACATCTGGTGTCATCTGGTGAAAATATTTGTGTTTGCACTGACATAATTGGCAATCTACTTGACGGTAAATTTTCAAAAGATCAAAGAGACTAGGTTGATATTGATAAATAATTATGTTTGTTGTATGTGAATTTTTTATAAAAATAATGTATGTTTGTTTGGGTGTTGTCAGTTATTGTTGCGGGCGCTTGGATGTATGTGTAGGTGTAGTTTGAGCGTTGAGTATTGTGTGATATGAGAATTGTGTGTTCTGTGTGTTGTGCCCATTGGCCTACAGGTGCTTAGTGTCCTTATTTCAAATGTATGCATCAATATTGTTCCATTTGTTGCGTAACATTTTAGTGTTGTAAACTGATTTTGAGTTTTAGTACTTTGATTGGCTGTTGTAGATGTTGAATGCATGTGCTTAGTTTTCACTTCTATTCGATAAACAAAAATAGTTGAAAGTAGTATTCCTGCTACATCTGTTTGAAGTTATTTGCATTGTGTTATTGGCCATCTGTGTAATGTGCAATCACGTGATTTTTGTGTTGTAGATTTGCTGTCCAGGTGTTCTCGGTACCATTTGATGTAAAGCATGGGCTGTTACATTTGACTAGAGTAGCTGCCCCTTGTTTGGTATTCTTTGACGTCAACGTGGCCATAATGTAAAATAAATTGCGATACACCATACAAGTACGGGTGAACTTTTTGAACTTGATAAACTTAAGAACGGCAGACGACAGCAACATGATGCCACGGGAAGCTGTAACCAACTGAGTGTTTAAGTCCTTTTTTGTCCTCTATAGGACATAGGCCTACTATATTCTATCTCATGCTGCAGACTCGCTTACCCTACGTCAACTTATTGTTTTCAGATTGGGTTCGTAAATTTCAAGTTTTGTTTTTTAACAGAAAATTCTATCTCACTCTAATTTCAGTGTGAAGGGAAGTAAGCGAAGAAGAGAATTGCCCCCCCCCCCCCCCAGCAGAAAAGGGAAATAACTTTGAAACCTTGACTCATTTTGTGTGCCCGAATTTATAAAAAGATCATCACACAAGTTAACAGGCAAGATATACCATGTTAACAGGCTCAAATTTAATCAAAACCCTAACATACAAAAATGATCTTTCTGCTAATGCCTCACAGCTTTTGATTAGTGGAGACTTTAATCCATATTAACCAGCTAACCTAATGTTGGAAAAATTTAGTCCTCACCATGACACACATTCAGCTCTCAGTCTCCAACATACATTAAAATACTAAATAAATCTATCTAAGTAAGTCGACCTGAGACTTGATACAGTTAAGTTTTAATTTACACATACATCTTTTTAAAAGACCAAGGTATAAAGCAATTGTGTGAGAAAAAAATAAAACAAAGAATATATTTTGACTTTGTTTAATTCATACAAAAAAAAATTATTCTGAAGATCTTGACTGCATTATCACAGAGAAGAAAAACTCGAAGACTTTTTCCTGTAATAATTTCAAGTTGTCTACACTTTCTTCCTGCATAATTTACATATACAACTTTCAAAAATGGTAGCTTAAGTGCTTTTAATAAAAAAAAAAGTAGACAAAAAAAAAACAAGGATAAAATGATTTCCAAAAGAGCAACTTTTTTGACATTCTGCTACAAGCAATGTAAATTTGTAAAGATTTACAAATACACCAGAACAATTTGGTCAGATTTATTTTAAATGGGAGAAGCTGAGGACATTTTTTTACAAAGTATATCTGCCATAAAGGCAATGTTACAAAGTTAAAAAAAACTTGGATAAAATGTTTTAGAGATGTACTGAGACAGTGACAGTAGAGGACACAGGTTGGAAATATTGATGCAAATGTGTCAGCAGTCTGTGAAACCATGACTTAAAATATTCTTTGTGACTTAACTAAATTTGATATTTATATATATTTATTTATGTATATATATATATATATATATATTGCTATACGGACACACAAGCATCTTGGCCGGTTATACCAAACTGAACATCTTTTTATTGTGTAGGCAGTCTAAACACAAGCTATATAGTGTGAGAACATTGGTCTATAATACACTATCTGTGTATGTTTAACACTAGTTGTGTAGGACATATAGCTAACACTAGCTGTGTAAGACCTTAGTTTAAAAACTGTGTAGAACATTTTGCAATACTGGGTCCCCTTTTCATGTGCATTAACAGATTTATCAAGTCACATAAATTATTTAACTTTAATGAAAGGGATAAAAGTGACATGTATCTTTTAGTTTTAGTTATCCTCCATACTTCAGCTAAGCCAGAGAAGCCTAGTAAATCATATTCTTCTGAAGGTTGCATTTACCAATCACACATTTTTATATCTTTTGATAAACTTCACATCTATTACCTTAAAAAAGCCCCAAGCAATTGACTAAAGAAAAAGCTATGCTATGGATAAAACAAGCTAAAACACAGTGATGCAATGTAAATCTAACCTGTTAAATGAATATTTGCAATAACTCTTTAATAATATGATATGATTAATATTATGACTTAAAATTGGATTTTAATATATTATTAACTTTGTAATAATTAATTAAAAATACAGAGCTTGTCTTTATCATAACAGACTAGCTGTAGAAAATTTATAAATATATTGAGTTCTCAACACAAACATTTAAACATTAGTTATTTAACAAGCTGTCATTTAACTAAGGAGTCACCCTCAAAGTCACACTCCGTAAGAGAGGGCTTCAGAAAGTGTGAGGACACTCTTCTGCATTTTAAATTTTAATAGGTTAGGTTAGAAACTGAATTTTCACAGTGATATTGGACTTTTTAAGTTTGGGGCAGTTGTTTTTTGTAGTATATTTTGATACATAAATGAATGTACCTAATGTTGCCTGAGCTCAGTAAATATTTGAGAAAGAAATCTAAGTTTAAAAAAATAAAGCAATTTTGAGGTGGGTTGTTACAATTAGAGGGGGGTAGGTAAAAATCATCCCAAAAAAAGCATGACATCATTTAAGGATGACCACTATCAAGAAAAAAGTATTCTTAAACCAAATTTTTTTTATTATCTAAACCTGTATTGGACCAGATAAAGAGGGCAGATTTGAATGCATTATGTGCCCAGCTATGTTCACCTTCCTAGAGCTGTGTGGACTATAACATCCTGGGTCCAGGATATAATCATTAAATTTATTTCATTTAATGAACTGATTAATACCCTATACAATGTTCTGAAATATTTTTTAAAAAGCATCCAGTTTGAACAAATTAAAAACCATCCAGGTTGATCAAGCACTTTATTGCATAATGAGTTGTGTGGTTAAGCCTTGTGTAATGGGCACAAGAACAAAGGGCTTAAGAATCTCCAGGGTCAGGGGTTCTAGAATATAAGAAAAAGAAAAACATCAGATAGATAGGTCATCCCAGACATTCCTTAACTAATGTTGTGGTCAGCTAGAACAACTCTAGAGGAAGTTTGTTAAACTTTAAGCAACAGAAATGTGTGTCAACTAATTAACAACACACCCAAAGTTGCTCGTCAATTTATCTTATAGCAGCAATGTACAAGTGTGTCCTTAAAAAATGTGTTTAAAATATTAAAACAGAAAATAAATAGAAAAAAAATTCACTTAAAATTTTCAAAATACATTTTGATCAAAATGAGAAATTAAAAAAAATCTCAACATCAGCTAAAATATAACATAAAAGCTGTATCATGTATGGCAGCTAATACTTCTGTGTCAATGAAACCAGAAATTGTTGAGTCAGCATACAAAATTAAAGCAGTAGTTATTCAATAACACAAGTTAACAATAAAAACAAAAAAGTATCTGATCCACAGGTTAGCACTTGCCATAAATAGTTGCTTTACATTTATTCCATCCAATTATGTAAAATTATAAAATGATGCTATTACATTTTTATTATACAAAAGTGAAATAACATTATGACAGGGAGGTAACTAAGTATGACAATCATTAAATACCCTAGAAGGTTATGGTAAAAAGTGGTAAGCAAAACAAAATTTGACTAACAAGATTTGTCATTAGTTCAATGCTGTAAAGCTGACACACTGAAAAAGTCAAATAAAGTATCACCTGTATTATGACTATAATTCTTAGAACTTCACATACACTAGTATGTATATGAGCTTTGTATTATCTAGTAAGGCAATAAAAACATTATGCACCATACATTAGATATTTAATAGTTTGGTGCAACTTTGGAGCAGGAATTTGTTTTTAATTCTTACAATCTACTAAAAATTGCAGGATGTAACAAATAACAAAAATAAACAAGCTGCATCAGAAAATATTACATTTAAATTGACTGCAGACTAGACTGCATCAAGCTATTCCCTGATATAAAAAAACCTTTCTCAGTGCCAAATTTACAGCAATCAGCCATGTGTTATATAAATAACAAACAAGAGTTTGTACAGTGATCAAGAAAAAAAATTCAATACTGGGCTGTACATTTGTTTTAAACATACATATTGCATTGCAAGAAATGTGTTGAGATAACTGAGTATAAACTAATGGCAACCACGGAGTAATTTTGATTGTTAATATGTGTGATCACTATTCATTAATAAAAACAAATATTTCAACAGAAATAAGAACTACTAATATACACTGACTTATTACAAAGCAATGTGTAACAGAATACGTATTTCATGCATCTCAACTTTCATTATATATGGCTCAAATTCTAAAGATTAAGCTAAAATTAACTTGAGCCATACTGCATATAATAATTTCTAAATAAAACTAACTTTCGCTAACATTAAGTGGTAAATGTTTCAACCAAGTGCCACAAACTAATTTAAATTATAATCTCTGACATGAGGCCACAAGTCCCTAAGTAAAACACTAGCTCCCATTCTCATTGACAATAAATAAGGCAGACTTGCTGTCATCATAGAGTAGTTTGTGGCCGCATGCCAGAGCTTATTGCCACAAGTAGACCTGGCGATTACAATTTTTAATGTGAGAATGTAAATAACCTATTCACTAAACAACATGCATTTGCATGGAGACTTGTTATACTTCACAAATATAACGTACATGTTCCCTTTTTTGAACCTGATGGTCCAGTGGGCAAGTGAAGTAGAGTTTACCTGTAATTATTTACAAACAGAGCGGTATCCTGTACAGCAAACAAAATTAAATAAAACTATGAAATTATTTTTACACATGTTTTCAACTTTAAAAAATTAGCGTGCATGTTTGAGAGGTTCAAGAAAATGAGAGGAATACCCATGAACCAAGAAAATTGTGTACTGTCAAACTATTACGTAAAACAAAGCAAGAGTATAAAAGATCACAACTCAGTAAAAACTTCTCCCTGAAGTGACAACACTTGTATATGACTTAGTGTTTTATAAAGTATTCCCTTTCATTTAATTACATACAATCTGTAGGTAAAACAAGAAAATTATGTTTTTTACAAATCAGGAGTTTGTTCAATCTTCCTTTTAAAAAGTAACATAACTTGTAGTACATAAATTTAAAAAAAAAACATTCAGCATAACTGAACAAACAGTATATATAAACTGGTAAAAATTTGCTTTAAAGTATGACTGTATAAAATTATTAACCTTTTTAAAAATGACTTTTTGAATTTTATAAGAAATTTTATGCAGAAGTTACTTATAAAAGCAGAATGTTTTTAAATTATAATTATAAAAAGAATTGAAAGCACCAGAAAAGTGTCAACATAAATCATATACAAAGAGCAGGTGAAGACGATTGATGTTTAATAATCCAGCAAACATTACAAAAGGTAATTAGCTGTTTGAGACCACTGTTTGCCTGCTAGGGTTACAAAATTAATTGACTTATACAGAACTTAGTTGGGAGATAAATAAAGTGACTTACATACCTTAGGTTGGTTGGCTTGTATTGTTTAAATATTGATCAAAGTATAAGTTGTTCAAAAGAACATGAATGCTATTTACCCAAAACGTGTAAAAGGGGTGGTTTTATTATTTTTTTTGTTATATAGTTTGCGACATTCACAAGCAGACTGGACCATTCAAGTACGCTAAGATGATCGGGCTAAACGTGGAACCTTCATGAACAAAACCTGGACCCAGCCTAACAAAAGATTCCAAAGTGAATGAAAAACTGGTACTCTCTTCACCAGCAGCCTCCAGACCAACACACAGGCTACAACTTTCAACAAGCTCTGTATGCGCTGTAACCTAGAGATTAAAATTTTAGCAAATTAAGAGACACTCATCTAGAAGATTTTTTACAGCTACCCGTTTCCAAGTATTAGTATCAAATGTTGGTTAAAATGTTAAAAGTTTTGGTTTTAAGTAACATAACACGCATAAGGACACTACTAAAGCATCCACAAAGAAAGACAGTAGTAAAGGTGAGTCTCAGCAGTTAAAAACATTTTAAACGCAATTTTCTTGTAGCTCTAAATGATCTAAATACTCAGTGATGCAACTAAAACGCAAGTGGCATGTGATACCAGGTTGGCTATGACTCAGCTGCTCAGTGTGAAACTGTTGAGCAAGATGTTACATAGACCTGATGAAACAGCTTGCCAGACACATTTTCTGAGTATTACTGTATCAATCTAACTCAAAATCTAATTACTTTCTTTAAACTAAACCATTTTAAGCATTTTTATTTTATCATTTTCCAAAGTTTAGAAATGTCATGGGTCATTCTGATCTGAAATATGTACATATTTAAAATGCACATTAAAAGTTTAAATGTAAATGCCTCAGCTAATGTAAATTGGCACCCCCAGATAATGAGATTGTTAAAATTCCAAACATCACCAGTTTGAACTTGCATTTTAAACATTCTGATTAATAGTATATAGAGCTAATAAGCCTTCTTGTATAATCTGTACAAAATATAGCATAGGAGGGGGGGGGGGGGGGGGGGGGAAATTTAATAAATTTCCACTTATGGGACTTATGATATCTACACAACCTCAAAGCAGGCTCATTTATCACTTGGTCTTGATGGTAAATAGTGATGTATGTATATTTGCCAAAATTGGATATACAATAAATTATATACAATATACTCTTAACCACAACAAATATAAGTATATTTAATTGGTGATGTACAAGAACTCACCTCTGAAGAGCTATTCTAGCTCTGGGTAACTCTGATATATCTTCTTTCAAAACAAACTGTTTGACGCCTAGGCAGTAGTTGAGCATGTACTTTTTCCAGTCAATACTTCGAGGATCAAAACAAAATGTCCGCTTGTCTTCTTCTGTCATCTTCCCAAGCAACATAAAAATATTATCATTGTGAAAGTGCCATTCATTTGATGTGAAAAACTCTAGCGTTGTCACTGCTTTGGACAACCTGTCTTGAATTTTAACAAACCTGGAAAGGATTAAAACACGAAAATCAATTTCAAAGTTAATGTTCAGATTGTTCAGTATGGCATGTGTTAAATCTTTAAAGCTTGTACTTACATTGGTCTTTTGCCGGTGATCCTGAGATAAAAGTCCATGATGTAGGCTGGAATTAGCTGGTCAAAGAACCACATTGTATCACGCCAAAACCTGGACAAAAAAAAAAAACACCTGTTCTAAAGTTATGTAAATATTTTTACCATGACAATGTAATAAGTTTATTCATTTTGAAGCTTAAATTCTACCAAATAACAAAAAGATTCTTATATAACTCATGTAGGTTTTATCAGCTAGAATCCAATTTAAAGATAAGGTACTTATGCTAGGAAAACTACAATATGAACAGGTATGTTAACAAGTTATTCAAAAAGTTCTAGATACAACCCAAGTGCTAAACAATTCAAACTTACATGCTAGGGGTGAATCTTGGCTTCGGCACTCTAGCAATATTGTGGCAGGGATTGATGATGAAATTTTCTCTTATACAACATGCTAAAATGAGAGAATATTGAAAAGTTTAAGCCCTGTGTATTTACCAGTACACAGCAACAAAAAACCTTTCCTAACAAAGACATAACAATAAGTACAACATGTATATTTCTAACAGTACTACAACTGAACTTACCCATGGCACCCCATGTTAACCTGTTGATCTGACCACTTGTACAGTTATAGACAAGAACATCTTTAGGCCTAGAAAAAAAGTTGTTAGAAATATAAATAGAAATGTAAAAAATATATTAAATGAACAATACAATAGTAGTATATTTTACTCAGTTTAATCATTAATTAATGGTGTTACCCAAACATAATTAGCATAGAAAAAATACAAATTTGGCCACCAAATCCTAATTTTACAGGAAGTAGAATAGTTTCAGAATCCTTTAGCTCTTTGCCAAATTCAATCCCAAAATGTGTAACATATCCTTTGTTTTTTTAGTTACTTTATAATTATTAATTATAATATAAAAATTAAAGTTGCCTACAAACAACCCATTTTAGATTTTCTCTGATATTTTAAATTTTTGTAGTGTACATTTATTGAATGTATAAAGAGTTATTTACTAGTGTTAGAAAGTCAGATTTAATTTCAACATTAGAAAAGCATTTATTTTTTATTTTTTATTAAATATGGAAATAAATATTTTATGAAAGGGTTCCCTTGTCACAGAGTTATTCTTCTTACATTGGGAATTCAAGCGTGGTTTTAGACAGAATGGACGGGTCACTAATGGTTAAGCACTGCCTACTTAATGTGTTAACTCACCTTTCAACAGCTGTATACCATGCAGCTGCAATCATAGCATTGGTTGCTGTGTCCACAGGTATCATGTCTGCAGTGCAGTACACATCGCCATGCATTACGAAGAGCAATCCTTTACCAACCTGTCAGGTCAGTTAAGAAAACATAATATACACCATGTATGTAAAATTTTAAAAACTGAAATGATAGAACGTTGACTTACTGCTGCTAGCAATCCAGTTGGTCCATTCAAATTGTCCACCCAACCCTGTTGATTAAAATAATTGAAACATTTAAAAGCAAGCAACAAAAAGCGAAGTAGTTTTAATGCGCAATACTCTGTAACTTAGGTGGCCAGCGTGGTCGATAGTAGAACATACAACTGCTAACCCGAAAGTCTAGAGTTCAAATCTGGGTTCAAGTCAGTAGAATGTCAATGAGTCCACCCAGGTCTGATAGTAAACAAAGGCAGGTGGGCATATTGCTAACCACACTATCCCTTCACATGACAAGGTCACAAAAACAGGTGAACTTCACTTCCTCATGGACTATTAGGTTTGAAAGGGAACTTTACTTACAGGCATTGGCTCCTCCCAAGAGGCCCCCACTATAGACGGTCGAACAATAGCAACAGGGAGACCAGCTCCCTCTTCAACCAGCAGGAACTCTGCCATAGCTTTGGTGTATGTGTAGGTGTTTGGTCTGGAGCCAATCAGCTTGCTTGTCAAGGCTTGAATGGCATCTTTGTCCATCCATCTGACAAAAAGGGAAAAAAATGCAAAATTAATATCTTTTATAGTACAATAATAAGCACTAAAAAATAAATTAAGTTTTATTCCTGCAATTGATGCAAACTATATACAGGAAAAATTATTCAGTGATAAACACAAGTTTGACTGGTGTTTAAGTATACTTTGTTTATCAAAATATGTTGTATTAGGTGTAGAAATAAACAGAACATACTCCATGGCATCAATAATTTTATTTGGGTGAAGTGGTGGGTCATACACAATTTCTTTCACAGATTCCTTGTCACAGTTAGCATAGGCCGTAGATACATGGATGAGAGCCTGTGGATGTATTAATAAATATCTTTACATGTCTGTACCTTTAAAAAAACATTATTTTGTGGGAAATTGAATTAAAAAGTTAACTCAGTCAGCCATGCTGATATGCAGTAATAATTAATATACTCAAATTATAAAATGTATAGCACATGCTATAAATGAGACTTGCCTCTAAATTCTTCATCTTGCGAGCCAACTCAACTATTCTCCTAACACCAAGCACATTCATTTGAACAGACAACCTAAAAGGCATTATTAGAGAAATTAGAACAAGAGCAGTGACACTTCAATTCAGAATGGGTCACAACATTTTGAGTAGAAAACATAAAAAGAAATGGTAATTCTAGACAACTTTAATTGCAGGACAATCAGCCACTGGATCCTGTTCATTTAGTAATATAATCAGGGAGAAACAATAAAATATACCTTCATCTAGAAAAATAATTTAAAGAATTGTGTTAAAGATTAAAATTGTAGTCTAGTGAAAAACTTTAAAAACAGTACGTCTATAAAGATGTGTAGTATGCACCCAGTTACCTAGCCACATATTTTAATGAATTAAAGTGAATAAATACAATGAGGTAACTAATACAGTACAGACTCAAGGGAGATGTGAAGTTAAAGAGAAACAAAATTGCCATATGGATTTCTCTAACTAATCCACGGCCTACTGCAAACAGATGAATAATTTATAAACATTTTGATGCTTCTGGGTGGCAACAGTGGCATATGACAACATCAAAAGCCCTATAGAATGCTGCTGATCAATAATGTGGATGGACAACTTGGGCTTGGGGAAAATCAGCAGAATCATATTTACAGAGAGAAAAAATTGATTTATGTATCAGTGAAATGTCAGCACTTAAATAACTAATGAGACACAGGAAGTAACTAAACTCCAGTAGCATTATAGCATAGACCGTGAAGCATAGTTGACAAATGTATACTAGATTATTAACTGTGAATTTGAGTTGAAAAATATAAATTAAGGTTTAAAAGTGAATTTTAATTAACACAATGTACAGATTTTAACCTGAAGGATATAACTGACAAAAATGAATAAAGAATAAAAGAATGACTAGGCAATATGGATGAACTTACTAAATACAGCATGAAAGCAATGATATGGTGATAATCAATTTATCACACTAAAAAAATGCATATCTGGCAAATATAAAAAGTATGAGAGCAATTTATGGGTGGAAATAGATATCAATCTGTCTTTTGACAGAATATAAATAAAATGAAAACTGTATTATAACAATATCAATGTAGACCTTAAAATAAAATGTATAGAATTTAAATATGAATTTGTTTTCTTTTAAACAAACAAAGAGCTGCCTTACTTTAACTCTTCATCAAATTTAACAGTTGCGGCTGAATGGAAAACTATGTTGGTCTCTGCTGTGATGCTCTGTTCATCTTCAATACTCAAGCCTAGTCTAGGCTCAACAATGTCCCCGCAGACAGCTACCACACGTTCTTTTAAATCTGGCATACTGGCTCTCAATTTGTCATACAACTGTAAATCAAATAAACATACATTTGTCTTTTAGCTTTTTATAAATAAAATGTAAACAAATTTACACTCTAAATAATTTGTTGTAATGTTAAGGTTTAATATTGTATATAACAATACAATCAAATAAGAGTAATAAAAATTTTGGTAGGATATATGTCAAATATAAAAAATTACCTTAGAATTTATTATGCTATCAATTCTTTCCTGTGGTGTCTGTCCTTTCTTAGGTCGAACTAGAAGGTAACATCTCTTTATGCCTGGGCAGGATCTCAAAAGCTTCTCTAAGAGAACTTTGCCCATAAACCCTGTAAATCCTGTGACAAAGATGCATTTATTTCTGTAAAACGATGGGATACTTGGTCTTTGCTGAGAAATGTCTTCTGCCATGATTGTTGCTTGAACTGGACGGTGGGTATAGCGAAGTAACTGGTGACAGGTATAGTCAAGCTAAATTTTGAAAATATCCAACTGATCCCACAGATGTTAAAAAATTATGATTCTATATTCTGTTTTCTGAAGATTCAATTCAATGCAGCACAAATCTTAAACAGCTAGCTGTGTTCTTGATAAGATGTTAAGAAATGTTACCTAGAAAAAAAAAGAAACACGTAAATCTAAATAAAACACCAACGACTTTGAAATAAATGAACAGCTTTTACATTCAAAACAATAGCAAGCATTCATCAGTGTACTGACATATTAATTATACCAACATCCAAGTAAATCAAATTAGACAACTCTTAGAAATGTGAATATGATTATTGCAATTAACTTCAGCTTATCAAATAGGCAAATAAATTTAAGTCTCCTCCTTTAATTTAAAAGCCTTACATAGCATTTCTTAGTCACCAATCACCCAAAAAAAAACAAATTTTTACATCCTTTCATTTTTCTGTCTTAGTTCATTTAAAGAAATATTTAATTTAGTAAATAAACTTTATCTAGCCTATAATTAAAAATATTTTATTTTACAGTGTGGATGGCATGGTCAAGAGCTCAACTACTCCCTAAGAAGTCTTTAGTTCAGATCTTAGGGAAAGTAAAGGCATTGAAGAAAGTAAAGGTGCTCCTTCATATGCCAAGGTTCGGTTAATAAACATGTGAACTCTGCTTCATCTGCCCAAAAGATCATTAGGTCTGAAAAGGGAACTTTACTTTTATTTTACTTTTAAATAAGGCCTTGATAGGCTCAATATAATTTATAATAGTAAGAGTACTCTTGCTTATAAAGGCACATCCAGCTCAAACAATAGTTACAAAGTAATCAATACTCTTATGACTAGACTAGATCCAGATTAGAATCTAGATCTAAGATCTAGAATCTAGATCTAGAAACCTAGATCTAGTCTAGATCAGTTAGATCTAGTAGTAGATCTAGTAGTTAAGTAGTTAGAAATAGATCTAGATCTAGATCTATATCTAGATTTCTAGATGTAGATATAGAATTCTAGATCTCTTTCTCTCTAGAATCTAGAGATCTGATGCCACAGTCCTTATTATTATTATTAATATTAATTTATTATTATTATTAATATTAATAATATTATTAGGCCTAAGCCTTAACTTAAGCTTTAACTGTTCCTTAAGTTAACACTACTTAACAACAGTTTAATTTTAATCAACAACGAATGCCACAAACTTAGATCTAGATCTAGATCTACCGTCTTTTTGTCGAAATGTAAATCCATCAAATAAGTTCCATACGAATGATTTTTAGTTAGCCTCGCCCTAGTCCCTAGCACTCGTCTTTCATTCCACTAGACCTAGACTCAGAAAAAAAGGTGTGTGTGAATCATGCGTAGCCAACGACGGAACATTGATTGGCTGAGTTTCCGTGAATGTTCGGTTAAGTAAAAGACCGTTCATAAAATTCGCATTCAGTCATTAATAATTATCTATGAATGGAACTATAATTATTGTCAAGATAAATAAATGGGGATTAACTAGTAAATTAAAGGCTTATTTTAGATAACTAGAATGTCTACTGACCTGTAGAGTTAAATACTAAATAAATACATTTTCCAATAACTCGACTGTAAAAATGACACTGAGCATCATCATTAGTATTAGTATAAGTATTAGACTTTCTAGAATCTAAATCTAGAATCTAGACCTAGATCTAGATATCTATCTAGAATCTAGATCAAATTAATTATTATACTAATATTATACTATTATAGGCGCGACATCGCGGTGAAATACTGTTTTACCAAGTCCCTTCTACCAATGTAACAGTAACGCAGTTGCCAGAAAAAGGAAACTTATTATAATCTACGTCTCCACATATCTAGATCTAGATCAAGATTCTATATTCTATACATTTATGCCCCTGTAGGGTCCAGATTAAGTTATCGATTTTATCACCGTACTTATTTTAAAGAAATGGAGCTGAGCGATTTTTTTAAAATGACGTCACGTACTTGCCTAATGAAGATCGTATGCTTAATGTTTGCCGGCCGGTGGAAATCGTTGAAGTATAGACAACCAAGCAGATAAATATAGAACTCGCGGCACTTCTATCGTTGCGTAGCACGATTTAAACAAATACCTTCTAGGTGGGGTGGTTAAGAATAAGATAGGCCAATGTTATCTGGTTTGCTAACATAATAACCTGCCTATATTAACAGGCCTACATTTTGGCCATTTAGTGCAGGTTCAAAGGTTTCGAACACATTTGCGTCACAAATTGTTCAGAAGAAGTGATTTAAATAACAAGTCATACTGGCCGATTTTCACAAACTGTGGCGTAGAACTTAGTACAGCCTTGGTTAAGCAGAGTTTCTTTCAGACTTTTTTCCAGAGTTTCTTCCAGGCATCTCTTCGGGGGGGGGGCGAAGCCCCCCCGGGAAATTTTTTACCGCCCCCCCCCCCCCCCGAACGAAATGAAATTTATATAATTTATATAGAAAATATATACTTTTAACAGTGTCCGCCTCCAGAAGAAAGTTTACCGCCCCCCCCCCCCGAAGATTTCAAGTGCCCCCCCCCCCCCGGAGAAAAAAGTCTGGAAAGAAACACTGCTTTTTTCTCCTGGGGGTGGGGGTGGGGGGATGGAAGGGGAGGAGGGCATCTATAATTTTCGGGGGGGGGGGGGGGGGGGCAGAAACTGGTAAAAGTTGAGCATATCTATTTTCTATATAAATTATATATTTTTTCTATTTTGCTCGGGGACGAGGAGTAGCTTTGCTTCGAAGGTGAGAGGTTACTTTTGAGGCATCTCTTCTTTTCCCCCACCCCCCCCCCCCCCCCTCCACAAGCAGCTTCACGGTACCACGACAAAATAGAAAACAAATATAATTTAAATTAAAAAAAAAATGGTGTCCGCCTGTTCCCAAACAAATAAGCGCCCCTCCCCCTCGAAAGTTTTAAGTTTTTCCCATCCTCGGAAAAATGTCTGAAAGAAACTGATTTATTTTGGTTGGTATACGGAGTGGGGGGGGGGACGGCTTTGCCTCTATGTCCCTCTTGAGAAAAGCCCGAGCTACACAATACAAAAAAGCCTTATAGTTATACTGTAATAGATTGAGATAATTGTGAGGTCAAGGGAACTCACTCTTCTGTATTAGTATTATATTTATATTGTTATCTTGAGTGATGTCCCTTGTATATGGTACTTCCTCTTCCTCTTCCGTCATGGCTGTAAATAAAGACTGTTAACAACCAATGTGGCTCCTCGTCAGTGTTTGCCAATCTATCTCATTGGCGGCGAGGATAAATAATCTACTAGAAAGAGCACCTACTTACGCAAAAAAGAGGTTTGCTAGAGCTTATTAGCTAAGTATTTCTAGAATAATGGCGCTGTATGGCCAAATAAAAGAATTTGATTCGAATGATGAAATCATTCAAGATTACCTAGATAGGTTAAGCTTTTACCTTGAAGCAAACGACGTGACGATAGAAGCCAAAAAGAGAGCTGTTTTGTTAACAGTTATAGGGCCTCAACAATTTAGGCTACTAAAGGACTTATGCGCACCAGCTAGTCTAACTACCAAGAGCTTTAACGAGCTGAGCAAATTGCTAACAGACCACCATGCGCCTACCCCATCAAAGTTCCTATGTAGAGCTAGATTTGACGGTAGGACTCGTCAACCAAACGAGTCAATATCAGAATATGTTGCTGCTTTACGTCATTTAAGTAAATTTTGTGAATTCGGCGATACGCTGTCTGACAGACTATGTGAAAAGTTTGTGACAGGTGTAAACAGCCCTGATGTTCAAAGAAAGTTGCTGCTCGAGTCAGATCTAACATTAGAAAAAGCAATACAACTTGCAACTTCATTCCAGCAGTCATCCGATGCGGCGAGATCTCTAGCACCTTCAGAGATCCATGCAGTAAACAGCAGGTTAGTCAATAAACATCAACCCCATCAGAGCATTTCAACTTATGCTAAACAGCCTGCACGTTTAAAGCCTAGATCTAAATCTAGTAATAATTATCAAAAATGTCATCGATGCAAAGGTCCCCATGCATCTCATCGGTGCAAGTTCAAGTTGGCAACTTGTTATAAGTGCAGTAAGCAAGGTCACATTGCCAAGGCCTGCTTTGCAAAGTCTTCGTCTGTTGCTAAATCTAGCCAGTCAAGACAGTACCGCAACCAAAGGCAGCACTATGTTAACTCTCACCAAGACTACCTAACCCAACCAATGAACCACTCTACCTGTAAAAATGCTCAAACTGATTCGCAGCCGGATTTCAACCTGTTCTCTGTGAAATCAATAAGTCATGCTCCCATCAATGTACTAATTAATATCAACGGTAAGAGCATCAGCTTCCAACTTGACATTGGAGCATCTCTAACAGTCATAACAAAGAAAGATTTTGACGCTGTCACAGGAGGATCAGTGTCTCTACAACCGTGTCACAAGTGTCTAACAACATACACTGGTGACAATGTTCCGGTAATAGGAGAGTGTATGGTTCATGTAAGTTATAATGGTCAAAGTGTTAAACTTCCTCTTCTTGTGGTTGAAGGAAATGGACCACCATTACTAGGTAGGAACTGGTTAAGTAATCTTAAGTTAAATTGGGAGAGTATTTGTTCATTGAACAATGGAAAAGAATCTAGTCTTACTTCACTAGATAAAGTAATATCTGAAAATAAAAGTGTTTTTGGCAATTCAGGTTTACTAAATGATAGAACAGTGAAGATAAGCATTAAAGACACAAATCCAAGATACTGCAAAGCTAGAGTTCCACCTTATGCAATGAGGAACAAAATTGAAAATGAGCTAAGTAGATTGGAATCTAATGGCATCATAAAGAAGGTAGACTATTCCGATTGGGCAACGCCCATTGTGCCAGTGTTAAAGAAGGATGGTTCTATAAGAATTTGTGGAGATTATAAAACTACACTGAATAAGCAAATAGAGCTAAATAGGTACCCTATACCTAACATTGAGGAAATTTCTTTGAATTTGGCAGGAGGAGACAAATTCACTGAATTAGACTTTAGTCATGCTTACACTCAACTAGAACTGCATCCAGATTCAAAAATCTATACGACAATAAACACACATAAAGGACTCTACCAATATGAAAGACTATGTTTTGGCATATCATCTAGCCCTGGAATTTTCCAAGCTGTCATGGACAGTATTTTTAAGGATATTCCAAATGTTTGTGTGTACTTTGACAATGTGTACATGACTGGTAAGAATGACACTGAGCATCTTAAAACACTTGATAAAGTATTGAAAATTGTTGGTGAAAAAGGTTTAAAGATAAACAAAGATAAATGTCAATTCATGTTGACAGAAATTAGTTTTCTTGGTTATATATTGAGCAAACAAGGCATCAGACCTCAACCTGAGAAAACAAAAGCCATTAAAGAAGCACCCAAACCTGAAAATACCCAACAACTAAGAGCTTTTTTGGGCTTGATAAATTACTATGCAAAGTTCATAGGGAATCTGTCTGGTAAACTATCACCACTGTACAAGCTGCTACAGAAAAATGCAACTTGGCACTGGGGTAAACAACAAGAAACTGCTTTTAATACAGCAAAAGAGGCTTTGTCTTCTGACACCTTACTAACTCACTATGACCCAGGGAAAAGACTTATATTAACATGTGATGCTTCACCAGATGGTGTAGGAGCAGTCTTGTCCCACATGGATGAGAAGGGTGACAGACCCATTGCTTTTGCCAGTAGATCTTTGAACCAGGCTGAGAAAAATTATTCTCAGTTAGATAGGGAAGGCTTAGGCATCATTTTTGGTGTTAAGAAATTTCATAAGTTTCTGTTTGGTAGGAAGTTCACCATCTTTACAGATCATAAACCATTGCTAGGTTTATTTGGAGAAAACAAAACCCTACCTGAGCATGCCTCACCAAGAATTCAAAGATGGGCTATCACACTAACTGCATACAATTATGAATTGAAATACAAACCTGGATCTGAGAATAGTGCAGATAGTCTTAGTAGATTACCTTTAAAAAACCAAAGCCTGAGCTATGTACCAGAAGATGTATTTGTTCTCTTCACTATCATGGATAACTCCAATATAGATGTGAATGATATTAAAAGAGAAACACAAAAAGATGAGTGCTTAATAAAAGTATATGAGTACTGTAAGAATGGTTGGCCTGAAGAGTCTGTGAATGATGACTTAAGGCCATATTAAATAAGAAATAAAAACCTTTGTGAAGATAATCTAAAAGATGGAGAAGATGCAGTCCATTATCAGTCAGAGTTGCCTAAACAAAGTATTTGTAACTTAATAAATGATTATGGTGATATGGCAATTTCAAATGTTTTAAAGAGAATACATTAGTAAGAAGGAATGTGATCATCAAACAACTTTGCTAACATCATTAGCACTTACA